CCCCAAAACCCCAAAACCCCAAAACCCCAAAACCCCATTATATATGTAATTAATTGAATCTATCTTACCCAAACAAGCATTTGGTTCTTCTAGCTAATAATGGTTACTTCTCATAAAATCTATGATTTCTTTTGGGTTTTTCCTTCTTAACTCCTTTGTCCTGATCCTTTCTATAAAGGTGGCTCAAGTTATCAATGGCAGCTTCTATTTCAGAGAACAACTGAGCTACTTCTTCTTCATAAATCTTCCAATTGTAGCAAGTTAGTATTTCTAAATTTACTTGAAATTTAGTATGGAATTTATCATATAGGTCATTAACATCAATTTTATTTTTTCTTCCTAATAATCTTGGGCTTGATTTCATCTGCTAATTTTTGCTTCAAGTACTCGACCTGCAATTGCATGCCCTTGAGTAGTTCTCTCTCGAAATACTCAACCTTTGCAGGATTTAAAAAGCAGTTTTCAATAAAGACTCTAATGACATCAAACAAGGGGATGTATAAACTGTCTTCACATTCTTCAGGAGGTTTGAAGTTAGTGTCTTTGACAATGTCTGATAAGAATATTTCTCATTTATCACAATTTGGGCTGAAAAGTACAAGCAAAAAATCTTCAGAGTAGAACCTAGTCTTAATTTGAAGTAGAGAATCGAAAACATTTGCAATCATCAAACCTTTCTGAAGGATTTCTGAGTCATTGGATATCATTCATTGATTCAAGTTCCAATCAGTCTGGCATTTAACAGTTTCAGGGTCAAGAATGTCCTTTGCATTGAGGCTAAGGAAAGGTGCTCAGGTCTTGAGAAAAAGGATCTTTGATCATTCCTTGGTAAAATTTTTATGTCAAACTTTCATATACTTATCTGCATCCATCCCAGTATGGAATAACGAAGCTGATTTATTGATTCAAATCAGAGCATAGTGAAGCAATCAGAGGAGAGATCTTTTCATGTTTATAACAAAGTTTAGGATCATGGCTGGATATTCACAGGCGTATTCATGTTTAAGACATCACAGGCTCTTAATAAATCGACATTCATGGTTCTTCTCATTCTCAATAATCAACTTGGCATCCCCAGGAGTAATTTCATTTTGTAGCATCTTATACCTGCTTATGAGTTCTACCACATTTGGAATGAAGTACGAGCCTTTGACCTTCTTAAATCATAAGGAATAAAATTCATTATTTCAAGCAACTAATTCCTCAAGGATTAGACTATAATCTTGATCTTCTTCTGATATGCAACCATCTTGGAGTTCTTTGGAAGCAAACATCACATTTTGTTCTTGATCATCTGAAAGTTTCTGGTTTTCTTTAATTTCTCTCTTTTTCGTTGGCTTAAATCTTGCGAATTTTTGAGCTACTACAATATACTTTTTAGTTAACTTAGGATCTTCTTCTTCATTGCATCTAAGGTTATCTCGATGTGTTGTTAAGAATTTAAGGCACAGCTCAAAGTGCTGATATAGTTCACTAGTCTTAACTCTTCCACTTAAACACGCCATACATTAATGAAAAGATAAGGAGTAGCGTCAGATATCAAGCTAAGCCTATCAATCTTAGGAACAAGGTTGCCAGAGAGGTCATCACAATGAGAGATCTATATCCAAACCTAAATCAAGTCTAGAAACATGCAATCATGTAAAAACTGGTGACCTGCTTACGAGCCTCGAGCATCACGAGAGTACAGGAAAGTTGAATCCTAGTGACTAGTATTGTCTAGAAGGAAGATGCCCTTTAATGAGCCTGGGGATGCCAGGTTGGATGAGATGATGTCGATAATTACCCTATAACCGATTAACACTTTGATCATAGAAGAAAGGCTACAATTAAGGGTCCTTAAATTTCCAATTTCAATCCAGCATTTTCTAAAAGGGGTTTTGGGGTTTTGGGGTTTTGGGG